GGAGCTGGAGCTGAGTACACGGGAGCTGAATACGAGGCAGCGGCAACATGAGCGCCATCCCTCCAGGCCGAAGGGGATGCGGCGTAGGAAGCATGACCGCTGGATGCAGCGCCACTACCGCCGAAACCGCCCGAAAAACCAGCGGATGACGTTGGTGCGAAGCTGGCGTGGGACACAGATGGCGCCGCGTAGGTGTTATACGAATTGGAAGACGAGGCTTTGGGTGGCAAATAAGCGTTGCTAACTTCAGCGTTAACGTTTGAGCCCAGGAGGGCAATAATTGTGACAAAAGCCAAGATGTGCTGTGAATAAAAATCATACGAAATTTTTGACTGAATATTCATTCCAATGGTTTTTTCGTGTCCTTTGCACTTACCATTTTTAGCTGGACCTCCAAGGTGGTTAACTCCAAATATGGAACTGATAATGATTTCGAAAGTTCGTGCAACTTTTATACGAGAATCCATTAAAATCGCATCTAGCGGGAGATATGGGCAGATTTAAACGCTGCGTTACTTGTTTGTAAAAGGTGTTCTGCATCTTTATTTTATTTTTTTGTGGCTTAGAGAAATGCAGAGTTATTTCATTAATCTAAACGAGTTTCTTGTGAAATATGTATTTAAAACCAATGAAACGAATACCAGCAGAACAATTGGGTACTAACTTGTATACATTTCGAACGTTGATAAGAAGTAATGGAAGGGGGTGCTCATTAAAACCTAGGAGCACAGCAACTTACCTCATTCGACAAGATTGATTAAGAATTCCAACGAAAGTATAAAATTCGAAAACCGATGGCATGCTGAAGATTACTGAATTCGCAAAGAAGAAGAAAAAGTAATGCATCCCAAAAGAACAGAAGGTAGCTGAAAAACTTGTTTTAATTTTGACAGGCCATAAATAGATATTATTTGTATACTGACATATCTATGCACATAATTTTAGCAAAATTTTAATACATGTGTATGCACACACATAGATTCATGTCTTCATGAAAAGCTGCAAATTGAGTGTCGACCGATTGAACCCAATCCAATTGATATGATCTGGCTTAGATGGTTATGACTGGTCGTGCTGCTTTATTTCGTCAACACTTAATTACCCAACCAAGCATCAGCTCATTTGTCTATTATTTATTTGTTCATTTTAAATAATTAAATTGCGTTTTAGCAGAAGCTCTAAAAGTAATTACATACTAATAACCAACAACTATTAAATAAAAGCTTAAGCACAATTTATTAGTAAAACAATTAGTAGTTAATGTTTTAAATTTCTTAAGTGCTACTTTTATTTGGCATTTCGATTAAATTGAATTATTTTATTAGCTAATTGAAATTTGAGACAGTCGGTGCGATTTTAGTTTATGTGCGAGAAGAAACAAGCTAACCCCCGGTGCGCATACGCAGAAGTCATGGGAAAAATTTTGTTGTTTATTTTCTGCACAGTCGGTGAACCATTGAACTATTTACTGGGTGCGCTTATGCGTTAAACCTTGAGCATTTGCAATAAAGACTTTCAGCTGTTCAACCGTAACTGTGCTGTTACCACGAGAATATGTATGTATAATACAATTTTTTTGAATTGAGAGAAAGTGATTAACATCAACTAATTTTGGTATTTTGTAAGTTAAAATATGTGTTTGTAAAAGTGTAGTAAATAGCTTTTATTATAAAAGGCTGCAAACATTGGCCTCTTTTAAGTGTGGACCACACCTTAGCATCAATCTTGTTTTACTAACGAGGCTTAATACCCAACTGGGAAAATTGTACTTAAAAGATTTGCTTATTCCTACGGCACTACAACCGTTTCTCTCCTTTCCGAAGTTATGCTAGCGGTACACACCAAGTGCAGGCAACAGGTGGATTCCAGCATAAGCTCTCGCTAAGTTCGATCGCTAAAAATCTCCAAACGAACAGCAGGCGCCCCTGACAACATGCAACATCTATTTACATACCCCTCATTCTGCCAGATTTGGCTGATTACACAAAGTATCTGTTAATTTTCCAAGTTGTGTATTTTAGGCCGAACTGCTTTTCATTTAGGTGCACTACTGCCGGTCTTTCCACTTTATTCGTGGGCTTCATTCCTTTTGTTATCCACCCATGGATGCCGAGTCGAAACATCTTTTTTCCGGAGCATCATCATCTATGCGTACTATAGGTTTACGCCGACAAGCTTTGTTGCGGCGGCGTGGTCAACTTCGAAAAGAATCGGCGGCGGCGGCGACTCCGGCACGTCTTGCAACGCCGGCGCTACTGCCCATAAGGTAGATCCCAAAGAGCCATGACGCTACTGATCTTATCATGTCATCTCGTCAGCGTTAGCCATTTTCCATGCCAATTCAGATTATAGTTCTAATTCATTCTTGAATTAGTTTAAAATTTAAATATTGTTACTTCAAACTTGAATTAAAATATTGAGTTCCTAGCGCTGATCAATGGGCGGACAGAAGAAGGTCTGAGGTATATACATACATACATACCTACATGGCTCTCTGTGTTTTCTACAGATAATTATGTGCTATTCAAACTTAAAGAAAACAAACAAATTAAAAAGGTAAAAGGTAATATTGGAGTAATTTACGTCTCTATTAATAAATTTTTGTAATAAATAATCTTATCTACCGGTACCTCTCCATTAAGATTTTATCGTTGGACGGTTAATTAGGAGGATGTATGTTCTGCCTGGAACTCTGAAAATCTCATGTTCAAACTGCCGTATTTCCTCAGCGTATTTCAGGCAGAAGTGGCCGCTGTTAAGAAGGCTATCGAGAGACCAGTACCAGTCTAATTCCGATTGGAAGATAAATTGGCATTAAGGGCTCAAGGATCGCTCAAGGTACAATCGAAACTGGTCTCAGAATGACTAACTTCTCTCTCCGTCGATCGCGTCAGTAAATTCCAAATCAGGCGGCTCCAGAGCACAGTGTCATTTGCTGAAAACTCCATAGCTGATGAATTGGCTATGGAGGGCACCGTTGAGGTCATTTATACTCACAGGTAGGGTAAAGTTCCTATGGCAGCCTATGGATTGCTATTGCACAGATGGGCTAGTTACCGAGCGCTGCAAAAAAATTCCAAGACACAAAGTCCAAAGGAGGATCCGCACCTGGCTAAACCTAACTCGTTTGCTCAGAGATTTACTGACCGGACACTTTTCTTTAGCAGCCCATGCCTATTGACGATATGGCATCACCCCAGGATTTTTTCCCAACTGCTCTACCTTCGCAAGACTAAGATTTAAACATCTCGGCACGCATATCATTAGCTCTCTAGAGCGGGCAGCGTATGCTTGCGGAACTTCATTTTGAGCACACTGTGCTTTTTTAACAACTTCATATTGATTTTCTTCATTTGGCAGCACTAAAAAAATGTGCAAGTGCGTCATACGCTACCGCATTATTTATCCTAGGCCACACAGTTTTTGGGCGAAATATAATATCTCTAAATTGCCTTTATCGCTTCTTTTTGCTTAAGGTAATTCTATTCACATTTTTTGTGGATCTGGCTTGTTTTATTACACCCCTGCCTGATGTAAAATGTTTAATGAAGTTTGAATGGCTGTCTTATGTATGGAATAGACTGGGGCTGCTGACGGAATAAGTAACTGATTAGCCGTTTGTGTACATAACTATTAAAGCTTTCATGGTCTTATCACTTTACGCCAGCCTTTTTCTTCCATAATAACCAAGAAGAAAGAAAATTAGAAAATACTTAGCAACTACATAGGTAAACAACTCATTTAGTAACATTTCCAAATACACAGCATTTTGTAAAAGAAAAAATCTAGACCAGCAGGATTTGAAACAGCGTTGCCGCTTTGGTAATTTTTAACCAAAATTGGTAATTTTTTTCTTTATTTGTCAAGTTTGGTAATTTGGTAATTTATTTTTCAATTTGGTAATTTTTTCCATTCGGCCTTACATGTCAAATAGGTCAATATTGGTTCTGATTCCACATTAGAAAGTGGACCGTAAGCGTTTCTTTTATAGCAATACCAGGTAATCCTGAAAGTTTCGCAAGGCGAAAGGTGTTCCAGGGTTCCTTGGATACTAGAATGGTGTGTTTTTTAACAAACTGCTTGAAAGTGGCTATTGCTAAGTATATCCACCGTGTCCTTACCTGGAAGGTTTTGGGTGGTCCTACCTTTCCCTGTCAGTTCGTCAGCTTTTCAATTACCATCAATTTTCCGGTGTACCCGGCAACCATATATATGAATAGAATTCTTCATAAATACGTATGTTCTCGTTCAAAAAGCTACAGCTTTCAGCGGGGGACTTCACCCTGTCTATGTGTGAGTCGAAAGCTTTCCTTCAAGCGTTGAATTTTTTATATATTTTCTTGTCACTTGTTTACATACAGTGGTCGAAAAAATTATAGTCGCACCATATTTTGCCAAGATTTATCATATTATTTTTTTTTTGTAATTTAATTTTGGTTATTTTTTATAAAAATATTATCCTTTCTTTAACAGAACTCAAACAAATTCAAACTTCAAATCTTTTTCCAATATTTAAAAAAGTTCAACAAACTTTCGTAAAAATTTTTGGTTAATGTAGCGCTGATTGCCTGAAAAGCTAGGTATCTTCGGATACATATATGTGCAGATATATCGATCCCTAACTGCCAAAATAACGTGAGCGACATTTTTTTTTTAAATTTTCTTTTTGATGTAGAAAGGCATCTAGATGCTCTAAGAATATTTCTGCATCAAAAAGATTTCGCTTACGTTATTTTGGCGGTTACGGCTCGATATGTATGTTTGTACAGTTCTGCACATAAAATAAGTTTGGTAATTTTTGTTCTATTTGGTAACTTTTTCCGGTGATTTTGGTAAAAAATAAAAAGAAGTTGTGGCAACACTGATTTGAAAGCGAATTAAATTCCCTCAATTGATCAATCACTGATCAATGTTCTAAATATCGAATTACTATAGGCATAGTTAGTTCTAACCGTTCCCAAACAGAAAATATCATTATTCTGTAAGCGTTGCTCAGGAATAATGAAATAATTTTTTTTTAGTGAAAATGGGGAGTCAATCGCCTCGCAAATAAAATTGAGGGATAGAACAGTCCTTCTACTATCAAACGATCTTAGATTAATGAGCAATCACAGACCTCTGTAGGATGAAAAGCATAGCGGACAGACTTTTTGGACTCGTCGAACTAATATAACGTGCGAAATATGCTTTCAAAATAGAAACAACGTATTCTAGCTTAGAACGCACAAGAGAGCTACATATCGTCGGTGATACTGGAAAACGTTTTATGTCTATTACTACCCTTGACACTTAGATGTCTCTTACGTGCACCAGAATGCATTTGCAAATCGTTACTCCCTAATAAACCAATGACAAAACTGTCTACCTTTGGCTGATGAAGATGAACGATTACCAGAAGCGATCAGATACAGATAAAATAACAATTAAGCACCAAAGGTAATATGTGACATAGAACGTTTTGCAGTATCACCGACGATATATGACATCTTTTGGGAAACGGATCAATAAAGTTTGAAATGAAACGTCCAACAAAAGCATGTACGAAATATGGCTTTGTAATGGTGTGATGACTTTGAAACTATAATACAGGCCTGGGCAATTGAACTTTTTCCCCCTCCAATATTTATGTTTTTTTACCTCGCTTTTATTAGCTTGGGATGTTACTATATAATATTGATGAGCCTAAAAGATGCAGCGATTTCCCTTCTCAAGTTAGGTACCAGATGACAGTACGTATGGTAGTTATAAAAGCGAGTTTTTAGTTTTTTGAACTAATTTTTTTTCTTATTTTTAATATCTAGGTATGTTAAATTGAAATAATACTTTGGTTTTTCTTCTAGCACGTCTAATTTTTTTATAGGTTAGATCTTTATTTTAGAATCTTTAGCAATTTGCATGAAAACGCCAAAAATTAATTGTTTTAAAATTGAACAAATAAATTACGGATAACACGGTATTTAGACAAGAAAGAAATCTCGTCCACTATAAATACCGATAAGACACAATACGGATAAAAAAATTACAGTGCGCCCGGCAACTCCAAACTTTCTTGTTTCTTAAGTGCAAGGAGCCCAACCCTCTCCCCTACGAAATCGTTGCCATCAATTTTTACCAGCAGGACCAAAAGGGTCCGGGTACAGCTGAGTATTCACGCCGGCGGCAAACGAATTCCGACGGTGAATAACCGGATATTTATCGGGGGCAGCTCTTTTTCTCGGTGCACATAACCGCAATTGCCAAAAATGTACAGAGTCGCAACGAGGTTCTCAATTCCTCGATTCCGCAGTACTTGGGGCAAATACAAAGAAACGTTGTTGCCAGCATATAAGGCAATTGGTCGGCTCTGAACTGTGCATGTGCGGTCGCCGAGGACAATTGGGAGGCAGTGTATGAAGCTAGAGACATGTCATAATATAGTACTCTGAACAGCCCCGGGATGTCTTCTGATGTTGACGGAAGATCACATCTACAGTGAGGCCTAAATTCTTCAAGTAAGGGGCAGAACATCATGCTCGGCAATCCATTCCTAATGGGGTTCTACAGAAGTAAGCACCCGAACAGACACTTGCTTGAGTTGAGGGACGGGGCCCAGTACTACGTACAGTTCCGGTAGAACTGAGACTGTGCAAACAAGCTTTTACAGACAGGCTGTTACCACCTACACAGGCTCAAGTCGCGTGAATGCCGTCATGAGTGCCCAATCACCCCCTGTGTCACTACAGACCCGCGTAGCTCTGAAGATCCCCCCATGACACCAACCACCTCTTGACATGCCTACTCAATCCTCCAAGTCTCCTAAGCCTACCGTTAGTTGAGCCTGAGCACAATTAAGGGCTAAGCTAGCCGTTACAGCAACAACCACAACCACGTGTTTTGCGCATTATTTTTGAGTGATAACTGAAGACAATGATGACAAAAATACCCACAAATTATAAAAATAATTAAAAAAAATATATCGGCGATACGAAGATAATCCGCCTACATCAGCCGTTATATGTACATAGATGCCTTGAGCCGAATTTCATCTTCAACATCAGGAAGCAATTAGGTTAATGCCCCGAAATTTACTGGGGCATTTTTATTCAAGTGTCACTCACAACCCAAGTCCGAGTCTACTTCAAAGTTTGAACGGAAGAAATAAGGCAAAAAGATTAGCTCACTCTAGATAAGAATCTGCTTGAGTTTCATTGTAATAGACAGCAGAAGGAATGCCTGAACATGATTTTTTGATTGGAGTTATCGCCGTAAAGAACTAGAATTTAATTTTATGTCCGATTCAAATATAAGAATATATGAAAGTACGTAGTTTCGCTTTAGATTCCTATCCAAGTTTCCGGTAACAATGGAAATATTTATCTTTATGAGCGACGGACTTTGACAACTTAAACTTTTTAAAACATTCCTTTTTAAATTTTTCAAGTTGTCTTAGTTATTTAGTACACAGTTTTCCACAATTAGTATTTTTTTTTAAACATGCGGTGCCTTAAGATTCTTGAACCCTGCAAATAATTTAGCTGCAAGTTTAGGGAACGTACCCATAGTACGTGACCCACTTTTTCGCATAATTTCGCACCTTGTTCTTGAATATGCTAGCAAAATTACGCAACGATTCAACGATCAATGAGGATAACGAAACAAAGTCGTATTTTTTTCTGAGATCGTCCTATTCCCAGGACTTAAACATAATGGAAAATATTTGGACAATATAACTGGATGTTTTGCAAAGCTTGCGTGTCAGACAATCCATGTGATGATTGCCAGTTGTTTTTTTCCGGCGATCAAAGTGGTAAGCAGCGAGATATCCTTGATTTTGCAAAGCGCCTCTAGAATTGTCTTCCGGATAGTGGTTTTTTCCATACATTGGATTTAAGGATGTACTGTCCAATATTAAAAGTGTTGTATAGTAGAATTAAAATGAATGGTATGCTTTTGTTGGTTCAATCTAAACCTTTCCTGTTATTAAAACCACTGTACCTATTCAAGTGAATTAAAATAATAAGCATAATTTTTCTTCAAAATTAATCATTCTTCAAAACGAGATAAACATTTAATTTCTCTGATGCTCACAAGTCCAGATATGTATAACTTTGGATCTTGAGGGAAATATGTATACCTATTCAAGTGAATCGAAAAAATAAAGTTTGAAATATAATTGTGTCCTTATAAATAGCAATATCTGCTTTTTCATTAACTTTAGGGACAAAAAAGCAGTGACTCCCTGTTCAATCGCCATGCAAGATGAGCCGTTCGATAAAATGTATGTATGTATGTACTTATTTTACTCAACTTCGGTGTAAAAAATTCATAACTCAAATTATTGTAGAGTACAACCAATAACACTATACTTAAATATTGCGCAATACTCAGAGCTATCATTGTGATTTTTTTTTCAATTGGTTTAGAGATGGCATATTTTCAGAAAGTTGGAATAACAGATTTGTGCTTTTATTAAATTAAAATGCATTTACATAAAACACAAACCTGCTGAAATAAATTATTTTTTTTTTAACAAATCTTTACAGCTGTGGATGTGAAAGTTGTTCCGAAATTGAAATCAACAACTCGAAATGTTCCTGCTACTTGTTCATCTCGAGTTTTTTGTATAGTGCCGTTAGTCACAAAAAAATTTTAATTCACATTTAGAAAGTACGCCCGATAAAGTTCCATTATGTAGGAATAAAAAAAAAAACTTATTTACATATTGCAATTAAATATTCGTTTTGTCAAATTCTTAATTTAATTTTTTTGTCTCAACTCAAACTTATTTGTCGAATAAGTATTTCTTATCTTAATTCATTGCAAACAATTTTTTTGGCAATAACAAATGCCACGCTTCCAAGCAAAGACGAAGCGACTCATTGGGTGTTGTTATTGCAAAGAACCAAAAGCGTTTAAGAATTAAGGTTAACTGCAACAAGAAAAAAGTAAGAATTAAGCAAAAAGTCTTTGTAGAAAAAAGCGAAAAAATCCTCTGCGTCCGCAGGTAGACACTGCGCAAACTTGTTAAACCCGACCACCGTTGGGTGTCGGTCGCACGCTTGTTGGTGGCGACTTTCGACGGCAGTTTGGCAGGCAGGCCGGCAACAGCTCCGCAGGCCACAAAGCGCGTTCAAGTGCCGGCGTAGCGTGTGACCGAGTTTAAACAGCGTTTTACGCGCAAATTGGCTTAATTACTTTCGTTTTTTTTTGTACGCGTTTTTGTTTTTCTTTGCTTGTAACGTAGAAAAGCAGGGAAGAAAACAGCGAAAATGAGGAAATTAACGCACGCATCGTATAAAAGATATGCGAAGACGAGCACAAAGGCTTAGTTGGATGATTCTTGTGCGTTTGGAACGTTGGCTATACGCGCAGGAAGTGTTCGGCATAACAAGGTTGGTAGTAGAAAACTTCATTTCATCACAAAAAATATTTCCAATCTAAACAATATGGTATTTCTTGTAGATGCAGCTCATCGTCTTCGCATTTTACTTGCTCATCATGTCCGTATCAACGCAAACGGTGCATGAGCCAATGACGGAGCATATATACTTCTATCCGCGACCAGGAGATAACGCACCCCCTCACATCTATGTCAAGCCTACGGAGCTGATAACTCGGCATCGCCTTCAGCTTGTTACCGACTGGCCCTACCAGGGCGTTATGGGTGAACACGTTAACAAACCCATCGATTTGATCGCAACCGCCGAAGTTAGCTCACAACCAATTTACTTTCGCAATCGTCAAAGTCTAGCAAATTTTAAGCTCAAGCAGAAGCAAAATATTCTGTATCTCGAATTACCGATAATGCCACAGAGTGCATTTTCACCTAATGGATCTGAGAATAAAGTTTTGGAATGAAATGCATAGAATTCAGAAGTGTAAAAATTGCGTTTTTATTTCGTTTTTAGTAAAAATATCTCTTATTGAACACATAGTTACTTAGAAGAATTGCTATTCTAATGACGTCTGCGGTAGATGTAACCGCCGTTGGAACCATACTGAGTGTCAA